CTCCGGCTGCGTGCCCGGCGGTGCCCTGTTCAGGCGCCCAGTCTGACCACAAATCAACACCCAGCCTCACCCGTAATTCACCTACGGTTTTACATTGAGTAGCAGAGCAGACAGCAGTACCCTGCCCTTCTATGAACATCAGCGTTTGCTTTTTATTTTAAAGCCCTATAGTGGAGATGCTCGTCCCATGCATCATAGCAGGGTCCTCGGGCACAGGAACCGTCAGGTCCTTTAGTACACACGGCCTTTGGGGGAGGAGATGAAAAACAAGTACTGCTGGCTTCCAGGAGCTCTCTTGTGCTCTCAGGTGGCATTACATTAAAGGGACATATGAATATATTCAGCACATACTGCCTGAGTCGGCATCCCAAAACCCAGGAAGCTGACCCCTCACCATCCTCTGCTTTCAGCCAAGGGTGATGGCAGCACCCCTGGCACCAGCACAGCGTGGGGCTGATGTGGGGAGGGCTGTGGCAATGAAGTCCACTTCTCCAGGCCTCTACACCCTGCCATCACTTTGCTGCTGTGTCCAGCAGGACACCATTCCAAGATTTTCCCCAGAAATACATTCCTGGTTTTGTGTCCTGTCTAAATTTAAGTGACAAACATCTGAGGAAGAGCAGAGCTCACAGGTCTCCGAGTTCAGTTTTCTTGCTATTATTCTCAGTGCTTTGAGAATCCAAGACCAATTCCTTCCTATCTGCAGTTCAGTCACATCTAAACCATTACCGGTTACTCCCTTGTTGCAGAGATCTCCTATTTATTCTTACTGACAGAGCACATTTCCTGGAATAACAGGGCGATGCAATTAGGGAACAGGAAATAATTATGCGCCTTTGCTCTGCCATGAGATACCTCCAAGCCCAAGGTCTCCTCTGCAGGACACGGAGGGAAGGAATCAGGTCTCAGGCAGGTGGTGAGAGCAGGCAGAGCTACTGCAATGAGAAATCTCCATTTTAGAGAGTAAGCCACAAGCTAATCGATGAAGGTCAGGAAGAGGTTTTCCTTGAAGGCTGAGGTGTTCCTTGCTGCTGTTGGTCTTGTTCAAAGCAATGAGCGCTAGCAGTGGCAGGGACTGGCCTGGGGCAGCAGCTGCACACAGATTTGTTTACGCACAGATTTTCCCCAGGAATCACATCCCCATTTCTTTAACCCTGAAGGCCATTTTGCTCTCTTCAAGAGTTTGCTGCAACAGGAAGCACTTGCCACAGAAGCACGGCATTTTGTCCATCGCCTCTGCTCACTGTTGGGGTGACAGGTCCTGGGGCAACAAAGAAGGGCTTTGTCCTCCTCTGCCCCTCGCTGGCTGCACAGAGGGACCTCACAGGGCCATCCCAAAGCACCCTCCTGGCCCGAGGTGGAGCACACCTTCCTGCAGAGAACAGCCCAGCCATCTCAAGCTTTTTCGATGATGAAAGCTGTGGGCTCCGGTGTCACAGAATTTCTGCTGTGTCTCCCTGCAGCTGCCAGGGCTGCTCAGGCAGAGAGTGAGGCTGCATGAGAGCTGGGACGTGGCACCCCAGCTTGTCTGGTCCCTCTGTCACCAGTTGCTGCAGAGCTCACCTAGTGACAACCTTGAGTGTCCTTACTTACGTCGTCCCCAGACAGTGCCAATAAAAGGAGTTTAGACTTCAGACCAAGCAGGGATGTTATTCATTACCAATAAGCTGACTTTTCATTGCATAAAACATATAATCCAGTCTCAAATCAAAGCAAGGTCGGTGCAGTGGCTGGCCAGCCTGTCTCTGGGGGGTAAACATGTTATTTCAAAGAAAAACCAATCTATTTTTCCTCTCTCTCTTCATTCAGAACATTTGTTGCTCCCCATCCCTCCCCATATTTCCCTGTGCCTTTCATCACTGCCTTGATTTTGCAAGGGGGAGAGCTCTCCTCCTCCCAGGGAACATGGACAGACCACCTCTTCTCCCTGGGGAAGGATGCAAAATGTCAGCCTCCAGCCCAGCCCCTGATGCTGCTCATTCAGAGCCTGGAACCAGGTACATCAATAATTCACTGCACGCTTTCCTGAGCCCAGCCATTTGCTGAGCCACTGGCAGCCCTGGTTCCCCTCCTGTTTTCAGGACTGTTTGGTCAGGGTCTGCCTGTGCTGCCACCCACCAACTCCAGCCCTTCTGGCCTCATCACTGGTGCTGTCCATCAAGTGCTGATTTCTCCTGCTGGCTCCAGGAAGTATTTTATTTTGAGTCCCTGGCTATAAAATTGACTGACCAAGGGGCTGGAGCCCCAAGGGCCCTAGACCACAGTCAGGCAGCAGTGCAATGCAATATCTTCAGAAATTTTTTGGGTGCCAGCTCAATCAGAAGTCCAGCTTTAAGGTGCAGGTCCTGTGGAGTAAGAAAACTGCTTTCATCTTTCTAGAAATTAAATTCAAGGGCTATAAAAAGGAGAAAGGACAAAGGTGCTGAGGAGATGCCTCTGTGGGCTTCCCAGCAGCTGTGCTTTGTTTTATGGCAGTCAAGGTAAGTGATGGCTGGTGCCACATCTCAGCCCAAGAGGATGTCACCTCCTTGGCTGCTCCCACCTGCACACCTCCGTGTAGCTGCTCTCCTCTCTCCCCATCATGCCCAAACTCCATCCTCAGCTGAAAGACTGCCCTTCTCTGGGCATCCTCCCCTCTCTTGGATGCTCCCATGCTGCTTTGACATTGCTGTGACTCCCACCAGTCAATGTTGTGCTCTCACTAACACGAGTGACACTGTGGAGCCTTTAGAGATGAGAGCAGAGCTTTGCAAGGCCCAGAGAGCACCAGCGAAGTCCTGTGGTGACAGATGAAGGTACACAAGGGCAGAAGAAGCTTTATGGGCAATTAATGATGGGAAAGGAACAGGATAGAGTGCAGGCAGACACCAAGCTCCTGCTCCAGCCATCCAGAGGATTTGCTGCTCCAAAGCAGCTGAAGACAGGCTTATCAGCAGCCACGCTCCCTGCTACAGCCTCCATTGTACAGTGCTCACTGGAAATGAGGCTGTTTCTGCCTTTCCTATGTTGCTGATGCAGAAGGGAAAGGACACAGGGAGTAACTGCAGCTCCCCTGCCTTAATGCATTTGGGAGCAGAGGAATCTATTGGCCAGGACAATTATCCCTTAGCACCCCCACAGATCCAATGTCCAGGACGAGACAGAGAGCGTTGTCTTATGAAATATTTGGCCTTGCAAGCAAGAGGAGGGACACCTTGATTTGGTTGCCCATGGAGTTTAGCACCATTTTTAGATTTTCCAGTGCCTAGTAAGGTCTCCAAGAAAGCACAGACTGGAGTTGGAGCTTTTTGCTGTCAAACTGTTCAAATCCCCTGTGGATTCTCCACTGATTCATTAGCGCTGAGTTATTGCTGTGCTCCTCTTCCAGCAGGGACTCTAATAAAGTGGCTTTTTGCTAGCCAGCCAGTTATTTTATGAAACTTTCCAGAACTGACAAGCTCAAAGACCTCCTTCAGGTGTGACTGCAATTGTCTGTGTACTCAAAAGAGAAATGCAAGGACTCAAAGTACCATCTCTCCTCTCCAAGCACAGGCTGGATTCCAAGATCAGGTGTGGGATGGCTGTTCTAACCCCCATGTCAATCCAGGAACAGCTCTACTTGCCTGTGTGTCCCTGTGGTTGCTCAGGCTGGGATGATGCAGACCCAGACACCCCCTTGTACCCAGACAGAGATTTCTGGTTGTCAGAAGCTGCTGTTCCCTTTCCCCCACACATGATGTTACATCCCTGGCTTGCCAGGGCTGCCTTCCCCCAGCCCCTGTAAGATTAGCAACATGCTGAGCTTCTGTCTTGCCACGAAGATTTCAGCACCCTTCCAGCAAATGCATTTGCTGTGCAGACAGCCATTAAGCACAGAGCAGCTGCTGGGTGAAGACCCTTGGCTTCCAGGAGGAGCAGCCACCTC